TCTCTTCTCTTCTCTTCTCTTCTCTTCTCTTCTCTTCTCTTCTCTTCCTCCTCATACCTGTTTCAAAACATCCTCTCCTGCTCTCTAGGGATAACACTCCCATCCCTTGGGAAGTCAGTGAGCAACGTCCGCTCTGCAAAAACCTCTTTATTTCTCTTAGAGAAAAACGTCTTTTCCATCCCAGGTTACCAACGAGGGCTCCAGGCTGTCTCAGTACAGATGGCACTGCTTTCTCCAAGTCACGAGGCTGGTTCGCTGCTCAACCCAACGGCAGCTTCGCTTCGCGTTGCGCTGTTTGTGCGGGGAAGAGCCATGCAGTTCCACGAGCACGGCACTAGAGGGCTGCTGGGCGCTCCGGAATGGGCTCGGCATCTCCAACTCCGTCGGAAAAAAAAAAAGGTGGTTTAAAACTCGAATGTTTGGGCTCCTGTGGGTGAGACTGCGGAGAATCAGGACAGGAATCGAAATAAATGCCGTTTTCAGAGCAACGCTTGGTGATTGCGAGCAGTGCCACATCAGACTGCTGGAAGAGGGCAGCACCGAGGTCTCTCCTGTTATTCAGAACGTCGTGCAGGCATTCTTCATAGCAGGACTTCCATTGATCTCAGGTCCTCCTGCAGCTCCTGCTCCAGTTCACGAGTTCCATTGGGCTCTTCCCCCCGGCTCTCACAGCCTCATCTCAGCCAGAGTCACACCTTTGTTCTCCTGCAGTTACGTGCAGGGAAGCAAGGCCCATCATCTCAATGTGAAGGGATGTTTCTGCCAAACCAGAGGCGGTCAGCCCTTCATGAGGAACAGCAGACACAAGGCCAAGCTGCTGAGGGATCCTGGCCACTCATTTTCTCACATTCCTTCCATACTAAGGGTAAGAAAATACACAAAACACCTTCGCTGCCTTTGGCCAGGTGGGATTCTTCCCTCTGTTCAAAAAGGCAACAGCAAACCATTGGCACAAAGGTGCTTAATGTTGCTGCTTAGGTTGACAGCAGTTTTTCACACACACATAACAACCCGTTTCTGTAGAAATAGGGCATGGGGTATTTTTACTGCCTAAAGGTTCTGGCATCAAAAAGCCCCACCTGTTTTAAAATAATACATGTGGTTGTTTTTTTTAAATAATATCTTTTAGATATCTTTTCTTTCCATAAGGAAAATGACTTCACCAAGTTTTCTTTTAAATGGAATTTAAAAAAAAAGGGGGGATCAGATAAAACTGCAGCACTTTTTTCAGGTAATCGATGGTCAGTGAAGGATGTAGCACGGATTAGGACAGCAGCAGCCATCAGATGGCAGAGCCTGTCCACGCAGCAGGATACAACCTCACTTCTGTCTCCCTGGCTCCCTTACAGTGGTGTCAGCAGGCAGGATCCACGCTGCAGCCTCACACAACCACTTTGCAGGGCCTGTGCTCTGTCAAAGCTAAAATCATGAGAGCTGACAGCTCCCAGAAGGGTTTCCCTTTGGTTTTTCTTCGACCTGGGTCACAATGGGGCAGATGCCCACGGGTTTTGGGGTGTCTTGCTATTCCCTGCTGTGATAGCAGCCCTTGAGCCTTTATGAATGAAATACATTGGAGTATTAATAATTTGTTAACTGAGAACGTCTTGAATGTGTTGGACACACTCTTGATAGTTAATTTTGTTACTGCTGCTGAATTAATGTAGAGACTAAAAAGTTGCACGGGTTGTTCTCACCACTGGCTTGGGCCATCACCCCAGTTAAATGCCTCACCACAAAACAGGAGGGGCTGGGAAATGTGAGACACGTACTAATAGAATATTGTAATTACACAGAAACAAAAGCCAGGATTTTAACTACCTGGGCTCCGAATTAACAAGGAATATGGGCTCTGTGATGCCCTCACGGCAAGAAAGACATGGAGGCCCTGGAGTTTGTCCTGAGAGGGGAATGCAGCTGAGAGGGGTCTGGGGCACAGTGCTATGGGAGCAACTGAGGGAATGGGATGGGACATTTTGGAGCAGAAGAGGCTGGGGGGAGACCACATCGTGCCCCACAGCTCCTGAAAGGACGTTGTGATGGCAGGGGGAGCAAAGTTGGATTCTGCTCCTGTGTGACCAGCAATTGGATGAGAGGGAATGGCCTCAAGTTGCACCAGGGGAGGTTCAGGTTGCATTTTAGGGAATACTTCTTCTTTGAAGGAGTGGTCGGGCAGTGGAATGGGCTGCCCAGGGAGGTGGTGGGGTCACCAGCCCTGGAGCATGTAGATAAGGGACTAAGGAACAGGGTTTAATGGTCAGTAGTGGTGGTAGTTGGACAGTTGGACTTTGTGATCTTAGAGGTCTTTTCCAACCCTGGTGATCCTATGATTCATATTCTTGAAATTCCCTAATGTTCAGCACATGAGGACCTTTGTAGTTATGCACAGCAGAGCCAGGAACAGGACTTCAGTTAAACGCATCCCAGTTCATCCTATTTGGAAGCAGGGTGATACAACAAGGGCATTAGACAGAAAAGTCTGTATCTTCATGGGATCAACGGAAAAGGAAGCCCTGAACTGAGCTGACTGCAAGAAATGAAATGAGAAAAACACAGAGACTGCACAGAACACAAGGTCACGGCATTATCTGCAAAGGGAGAAGCAGGAAGATGAGCAATCAGAACGTGGAGTGGATAATGACGGTGTTCTCAGGAGGTTTGGATGGATGAGACTTGAGGTGCTGATCTCTTTGCACTGATGAGTGTCCCCACATGGCTGCTTTGGGTTGAGTGCTCTGTGTCAGAGCTAACAGTGCAGGGAGGTTCGAACAAAACGGAGAAGCAAAACCAAATGCCACAGACCCACTTGGGTGAACAGAGAGGGTTTCATTTCTGTGGCCCAGAGGGGAATCTCAGGTTGTGGGGAGTCCCGAAGTGCACAGTATATCACGATTAAATGATTGCAGATAACGTGGAGATATTGCAGAAAGTGGAAAACAATGCCCTTTGGGTTTTGGGGGTTTTTTTGGGGGGAGGGATGGGAGGGAATAACGAATGGGGAAATTGTTTCACATTTTTCTGTATTTCCAGAGGGAACAGGAATGGGATTCCTCTCCTCTAAAGAACAGCAAAAGCCAGGCACCTAGCCTGATGTTAGCACCCTGACTGCCACTGCTGATGGAGACGTCCTGCGGAATACTTTCCATCTCATCTGGTGTTTGGAAACAGTGGTGTAACGGTTCCTTATTTAGTGCCTTCATGACACTCCTGGTCTGACACACATCCATCATATCCCCTCACATCTGACGCTCCTGTGCCAAGGTTGTTTGGTATTTCATCACTTTTGCTGTTCTCTTATCGTTATTTTGAGACAGAACAATCAAAACCGCATTACAACTTCAAGTTGCTAAAGACAGCTGCTGCCATCCAATGATGTTTTCTGGTTTCGCCATCTATTCCCTTCCTAATGATTCCTCAACCACCTCTTTCCCCTCCATGGCTCCACCGATGTTTCCAGCAACCCACCTGCGATGCCTGAGGCCATTTCCTGGGCAGCAGCAGTCCATTTGGAGCCACTCACCCACACCCCACAGAGACGGAGAGGGCTTTCCTTCCCTTCCCTCCCACCCCACATCAAGGCACTGCCCACATCACCAGCTCTCCCTCCCGTTCCTCATTGTGAGCTTTCCTTTCAACACCCTGAACAGCCATTGAGTTCCTCCTCTGGCCAATTATGACACGAAGCAGCATGGATTTCTGTCAGCGTGTTGCTGATGGTCCTCTCTGCTGTGAGGACGGATCGCTCCCATGCTTTCTGTCCCAGCTCTCTGATCTGATTTGGGAGCCAGCAAAGCTTTGTTTGCTGTTAGGAAACCTGCAGGTTTGTGCCTTGCCATTTCTGCTCTCTGTGCTTCGGTTTCCCTGGGAGGACTTTACAGTATCAGCAGTGTTAAAGAAGAAAAGGACAGGGCAGGACTGCTTCCACTTCTAGGAGGACAATGGTACAAATCTGTATTCTGAATTTTGGAGACTGCAAGCGTAGAAGACTTTCAGTGGTTTTCCCTGTTTGCTTTCAGGGTGTTTTTGCATTGTTTTGTTTTTTAACCAGCGTTGTTGCTGAGTTACAGCCATGCACACTGCTGGTAGGGCTGGATCTGAGCAGAGATCCAGCTTGTCTGCTCTCTTATTTCAGACCTAATGTTACGGAGATAACTACAAGCATACAATTCATCTACTGAGTGGGAAAAACGGATCTAAAGCAGTGACCAGGCAGAAAAGAGGGCTCCAGGGAGACTTGAGAGTGGCCTTTCAATATCTGAAGGGAGTATAGGAAGGAAGGGGACAGACTCTTTAGTAGGGTCTGCTGCGATAGGACAAGGGGAAGTGGTTTCAAACTGAAAGAGGAGAGATGTAGACTGGATACAAGGAAGAAGTTCTTTATAATAAGGGTGGTGAGGTCCTGGCACAGGCTGCACAGAGAGGTGATGGTGCCCCATCCCTGCAGACAGCCGAGGTCGGGCTGGATGGGCTCTGAGCACTGCTGGGTGTCCCTGTGCACTGCAGGGAGTGCGACCTGATGGCCTTTAGGGGTCCCTTCCCACCCAAACCGTTCTGTGATGACTCTACAAGAAATGTCACCTGGGGCCCCTTTGTGTCCCATACTGCAGTGTCATCCCACTGACAAAGGCAGGAGCTGCTTCCAGGCTCTGTGATGCAGAGCTGTCTGCTCCACGCGCAGCCGCTGGGCTGAGACAGGGCTGTGCACTGCACCTTACCTTGGGGAGTCGGTACTTCTCTCTCAGGTGAACCCTCAGGCAGGCTCTTTCCGCTTTCTTTTGTGCAAATGCCGCATCTCTTTCCATCCTGGAAAATAAGAAGGGAAAAAAAGTTGTTTCTTCGAGATATTGATAAAATGGCTGTCCTTTACACTGAGGCAGCTGCTGGGCTACAGAAGGTTGGGTGCAGCAGTTACCCCTAAGGTTATCTAACTTGCCCAAAGGCACAAAAGAAGTGATAACAACAAAGTGATGTCGGGGGCTTAATCCCAAAATCAGTAGCTGAGGAACTGCTGGAGCTGGAAATTGTCCCTACGTCATTAACAGCCCTGGGTGCCCTCTGCCAGCTCCAACTCCTCCCAGACTCTTCTGAACCCATTTATTGCCCCAGAACTCCCTATCACAGCACATGCCAGTTTCTCCTCTATGGAAAAGAACTTCCTCTAGCTGCGATTTTATAAAATGCACTCATTAAATTTGAGATTCTTGCTTAGATCACTTATATCTATTTGCACACTGTATGTCTTCAAAGATATCTGATGACGTGTAAATTCTGTTTTTAAAACTTATTATAAGCAGGAGGGGAATCAACTCTTGGAAAGGGTAGATAGTGATAGGACAAGGGGGAATGGTTTTAAGCTTAAGGAGGGAAGGTTTGGATTGAATGTCAGGGGAAGTTCTTTGCTATGAGAGTGGTGAGGTGCTGGAACAGCTGCCCAGAAAGGCTGTGATGCCCTGTCCATCCGTGGAGGTGTTCAAGGCCAGGTTGGATGGGGCCCTGGGCAGCCTGGGCTGCTATGAAATGTGGAGGTTGGTGGCCCTGCGTGTGGCAGGGGGTTGGAGCTTCGTGATCCTTGAGGTCCCTTCCAACCCTGGCCATTCTGTGAGGTGATGTTGAATGCTCTTCCCCCCTACCTTCTCCCCCTCTTCCTTTTTCATAGAAATCCTCAGCCAAAATTTGTTTTGCTCCAGCCAACATCCAAACTACTTGCAAGATGAAATGTTACTTATTTTCCCTCCCCTTTTGCAAATGAGTTTTCAGATTTTTTTCCTTTCTGGTTCTCATTAGCTGGAAGCCAACTTAAGCATCATTCAGCCAGAAATTAGGGGGGTGGTTGTGAAGAGAAGGTTTGTATGCTAGTGGCCTGTTTTCCCATTCGTTCTCAGCCTTTCTCTTCCTCAGCCACTCCTCCACAGGAGCAGTCAGTGGTCGTACAGCGTTGGGAATGCCCCCTCTGGGACATCACATCCCTTCCAGTGACACCTGTGAGAAGTGGAAGGGGGGGGATTCTCTGCTCGACCTGAGCTTTTCTCTTGCTCTGATGTTGCTGGAAGACTTGGCAACCTTCCCCCATCACCCGGGTCCTGTTATGCTGCAGGGTTTAATTGTGGGAGGCAAAGTGCTGCAGCTACAGGAGCCAGGTATAGGGGCTGTTGCATGACAGCCAGGAGCAGGTGTGCAGCACTAACTGGTGGCTCCTTGCCCTCAATGCTGGAGATTGCCAGCAGAAAACACCTGTTTGCTCCTCTGAACTGCATGTTCTCCTAAGAAACAGCAATCCCTGCCTTTCTGGTGAGCTTTGTTGCATTATAAAAATAAATGAATACATCAAAAGGCCAACAAAACACAGAATCCTGGCCAACGCCGGGACATCCGTGTATCAAAGGCCATGACTCCAGCAGAGCTCGTCACCTCCCTGACTTCTCTTATATAACCCCACAGCATGGACTGTCCTCAGCAAACTGCTTTCTGACAGTAATTCCCATCTTCCAAACTGAAGCACTCCTGCACTGGCTCCTCAGCACATTTCTGTATGTGAAGGCACGCCACCCTGGTACAAATAATACTCTTTACAAGAGTTTTCCCCATCCCAGCGACCCTGGTTTGCTCTCCAGCCTCAGCAGAGAGCCCTTCCACCCGCAGCTGATGACAAAAATGTGAAGCAAAATATCCTGTATTTTATTCCAGATCAACTGATACCTGTTTGAGGTGATATGATAGAAAGGGCTGCTGCTAAATACAGACCTGGATACCTCGGATTCCATCGGTCATTAACCTTTCACCTATAATCATCTTACACAGAGGATTTGCACAATCATTATGTAATTGATCATTAGAAGAACAGATGCATCTCAGATTTAAAAGTCAGTTGTTTTCTCCATAATTATGCACGATTTGAACTCCCACATGCTAAAAGTCCTCTGATTTACTCCCGTTTTCATACAGAAAAATAAATAACATTTGTGGAATGTAACCAGTTGTGAAGGGCTGATCGATTTAAGCTGATTTTACACAAAGTAATGAAAAGTGCAGCAATAGAAAGAAACCATTTAACAACTTTCCTCTAGGTCAACGTCACCCTTGTGGCACAGCACGCATTACTTTTTCTACATCTGCCACGATCAACATGGATAAAGAGAAGTTTACTCTGCACGGAGTTGTAGGAGAACAAATCATGCCCTGTGAGAATTCATTCCAGCACCACAACCATCCTCACACCTATGGGAAAATGTGGTAGATAAAACAACCTGTATTCGGATTGGATCCAGCTGAGGAGAGGGCAGAGGGAGCAGAGGAGAGAGGGAGAGTCGAAGAATGGGGGGGGGGGGGAAGGGCAAACACAGCATTTTACCATCTGCAGTTGGTGAGCTGCTGTTTGGGAAGCCTCTAGCAAAGATTGCCCTATTTAAAACAGAGGTGGAGGGGAGAGCTGACGTTTGGGTTTCCTCTTGGGATCTCTCTACCTGCCCAAGGTCACAAAGACGCAGCCCCATGCTGCTGATAAGGGAACTGGTACTCACTTCTCCTCAACCATTTGCTTTTGGTACTCCTCATACTCCTCTCTGGTCATTCCTGCAGCAGCTGCTGGGTCGGAAGGAGTGCTTTCTTCTTTGCTTTCTTCTCCTCCACCTCCAAGCCCCAAATTCTTCACCTGGTTGCTCAGCATGCTTTTCATCAGGAAGGCCATCCTTAAGAAGAGAGGAGCTATGAGCAAACCACCACGGGAAAGCCAAAACCAACCAACAAACAAAAGAGTAATTTCCAAAATCAACAGTCGCAAGCAGGAGAGTTTCTACAGCCACGGCAGCTCCTCAGGGGCACAGTGCTAGTGAAACGTGAATGCCAAAACCAGTTTGTCAGCCATAATCTGGATTAAAGAGTGAACTCCTTAATATCTAGAGGCAGATGGTTCAGATTACACGCACACACACACAGAAATCATTAGATGCAGCTACCTACTTTTTATATTAATACCTTAAGCTAATTACAGTTGAAAAAAGAAGAGTGTGCAATTGCACTTTGACTTCTTCCATTTAAAACTCTCACTTTCCCAAGGACCAAGACATCCCCAGGACCTGAAATAAATCCTGATCAAAACCAAACGGCACCTTCCTGCTTTGTGCTGGTTCATTCCACTTTTCCCCATCCTGCACCATGACCGGTGCTGCCCACGATGCCTGTTGGTTTGGATCTTCACTCTCAGTAAAGGAGAAATGAATCTGAGCTACAACGCATCCTTCACGTGGATTCTCCGTGCAGCCTCCTCATTTTTCCCAGTTCTGCTTACACCATGGCTCCGTTCTGGTGAAAGTCTGCAGGATCTGCTACCTGCACCATAGATCACCTGGGGAAAAGAACATCACCTGCTAGAAGTTCATGATTTGGGGTTTCGAATGCTTGCTTTACTGTGCCTGGCTGCATGTGGCTTAATGGAATATTCTGTAGTCTTGATTATCTAAATGGTTCTCTCAGCACTCTCATAATTTCACTGAGATGGGAGGATTCCAGTCTGCCTAATGCCTTAATCTGCATTAGAGCCTTTCTAATTAAAGCAGCCCTGTTACTATTTAAAAATGAAAAAGAAAAAAAAAAAAAAAAAAGATAAAAAAAATAAACAGGACCTTCTGTAATCCTGGATTATTAATGATTAAACGAGAAACTTGGGATCTATTTTTCAGATGGAGTTATCACGGCAACAAGAACTCCGAATCACAACAAAATTACTTTGATAGACTGCAGATAACAAGTACTTCCTTTGTTTTAATCAAAATCGATTTTGAAGCTCATTATGTGCTTTCAGCACTGTGTGTAAATGGGTCCCGTGAACTTGAGAACAGGGATTTTAACGTTAGATTTGAAACTGAAGACGGAAGTGTTGTGGAAGGTACTGAAGTTATAAAGCAATGACTGTATCTTGCTGTTTACACAGATCACTGACTTAATAAAAGCTTACAGCCAGGTGCTTGTAAGTGCTGGTGTTGCTGCTGTCTCAGGCTTAAATCAACGCCCTTTACTTTCAGTTTAAATTCAATCAAGACTAAAGGCTCTGTTCCTGTGTTACCTGGTGGAGCTGAGCTTTTTTCTTTAAAAGAAAAAAGCCCCTGATTTGTACATCCAAAGAACAGAGGCATCTCCAACATCAGAATAGACTCAGGAGTCCTGAAACAAGCAAATCAAAGTCCAAAGGCCCGTGGAGAAGACACACAAAACCACTATAGATGTGCAAGCATCCAAACAAGACTGTGCTCCCAAAACAGCAGCAGCAGACAACTCTGACCACACAGCTCAGGTGTATCTGTGCATCTCTGAAAGGTCCTCTTCATTCCTCCAGAATGAAATTCCTCCTGCCTTTCATGCAGCAGTCTGAACACAAGGTCACCTATAAAGAGATAAATGGGATCTCGGAGTCTTTCTCAGCTTGAAGAGCTTCACTTAGAGATACATCTGTGTAACAGTTTGCTCCTGGTTGAGGAAAGCCGGTGGCAAATGAGATCGCTCACATTCTTGCAGGTTACAGCAAACAGTTACTGGATAGGACAGGATAAATGAAACAAAACGTGAGACACGCACGCACAAACCATGAAAGCTGATTGAGGAGACTGGCTAACTTGTTTTGGGCTGTTGTACCCCAAGAAACCAGAGCAGAGCACCAAGACAAGGGCAGCTAGGGAACCTGGAAGAGCTACAGGCATATGTGCAACCTTCAGCCCAGAACAATTAGGTCGTTTGTTTAATCAAAGCAGCCAGCAAGTCACTTAATTCACTGCTAAGAAACCTCCAAGCTGGCATGTTGCTCTTCACTTGACCTTAAACACCCAGCGTCAGGCAGGGCTGAGCTGAGACCATGAAGCTCCCTTGAATGCTCCCCTGGACCTCAGTGACACATAAGAGATTACAAGAAAGAAGTTTATTAAAAATATGCATCTTTATTCAAATAAGGTTATCTCTGAACTCCCACCCTCTGTTTACATCAGTCGGAAACAAACAACAGGAAATGTCAGCTGTGTGTTATGTTTTTTAAACAGCAGAAAGTCGTCAGTGTTACAGTACTGATGTCATTTTCTCCAATCAACCAACAAAGTAATTCACAAATGACTGAAATTTGCTGGAGAGATTCCGGTATGACCGTTTATTTAATAAGCTTTAAGACAATGAGATCCCCTTGACACTGCCAAATATTTGCTACCTCAAATACTGTTATTTTCTTGGTCTCCTCCATACTGTCAAACATATTGGATTCCAAGTTGCCTTCATCTGCAAGTCCCGAAATTTCACTTGACAAAATGAAACGCCCTATATCAGTGTTGAAAGAAAATTCGAGTAGCCCACCACAAAGAGAGGCCATACTGACTGACAGATATCCTCAAAGTCCGAATTTGTTGCTATCACCTCAGGTGGGACAGGGTTTGGGCTGGGTAACTGGGAGTTTTCCTTTGATCCAGTGAGTGGCGAGGCAATTACTGATGTTCCAGGGAGCGAAGACTGTGAAATGAAGCAAAGTTATCACTTTTAGGATGGTGCACTTCATACCCTCTGCTCACTAACACAAATGATCCCCAGATGCACACAGACACAGGTCAGATCTACTAGCAGCATCAACGCACAAGCTGAGCCCCATACTGAGGATACAATTGTAGATTCAAGTATGTTGCTAGCCTCTATCCCCAATTTTTTTTTATTTTTTTTTACAAGAAAAGACAACAGCATTGTTTGTCCAGCTTTGAAACAAAGTTGTAATTGGAGAAATTCACAGTAACAAGAAATGCAGGCTTCCTCCAACTGACACATTGGAGCTGTTCCTCATCATGCCAGATGGACACACCTGACTTTTCAGAATATGCTTGTTAGCCTTCCTGCCTTGCAAAGCCTGTATTCAGAGAGGGAGCTCACTGAGGTGTTGCACTGTGCAGGAAAGCTAGCAATTGACACGAACAACACTGTTCTCAGAGCAATTTAAGAGAATACACCCAGTTGTAATTGCTTAGACTCAAGGCACCTGTAAATATTTGCTGGTGTTTGAACGGATAAATTCCTGTGCTGTTCTGGGTTCTCTGAAAAGGTTCTTTCATTGACTTGTCCTGCTTATCCAGCAAGATGAGCCTGAAGCAGTAGTTTCTCCAATTAGTACAGCAAAGTCTCAAATTTGGAAGTGAATGCATAAAGCTCTATCATTTACAGCATGCTACATACTGTAAGTACATCAATAGGTGTGCAGGTAGTATCCATTTATTGGTACAGCACGAACACCCACTTCTGGAGCTCTGTTTTGGTAACAAAACATATTGCATAGATTTATCACGTCTTCAAATTGTCAGGCACAATGCTAGAGTGTTCTTCATTACAGTGAATTTGGCAGCAAGCACTGCACTCCAAGAGAACAGACTGTGGAACTGCAGGAGCATCATGCTAGATTACAGACACATTTTGTAGATTTTCAGACAGACTCATTGTTCAGAAGTGAAACATCCAGACACATCTGTGTGTTTTCACAGAATTGGAAGGAAAAAAACACAGAAATATCATCATTCTGCACAAAACTCAATGACAGAGTTACCACAGGTAAGTAAACATGTCAAAACAAACTCATTTCACGATTCTAGTTTGAGCTTTCTCATTTGTTTCACTCCTGAAGCAAAGCGTTCATCTAATGATATCAACATGTGACCAGCCTTATGCTCTTGGTATTAAACTGGGAACTGACACACAATACTGCTTCTGCAATAGCTGCTGGGCTAACAAACATGCCTGAATCAACAGCTTGTGAAGAAACCCTTTCACAGTCAGTATGTGTAGTTCAGAATACTTGCCAGGTCAGCATTTAAATCAAAGCATTCGATACACGAAAGACACGAGACAGCTTTATAACAATAAAGGCATATTCATCAATTAAACACACCCTTAACAAATCCAGATTGGAAGAGGTATCAAACTATGGCACCCTTCCTAAAAATCTTCCAAAATTTTCTAAAATTAGACAGACCTGAAACTACAAAAAAATCTTTCAATACACCAGAAGAAACTACAGTATGTTTTCTCTCACTGCCTAAGAACAGAACCCAGAATAAGGAGACAAACATCTGTTAGCCTGTCCCATGCAGCCTGCATTCTATTCCAGGTATTACTAGCCTGTAAAAGGCCTCTTTGTGTCCATGCACTACAGAGAACTTAAACTCTATACTTGACGAAGAGCTAAATTTCCAAAAATCATTCTTGAGCTATTAGATCCAAATAATAAAAAAAATGAAATGTTTATAACAAATTTTCACCAGAAAAACAAAAAACAGAAAAGTGTAATTTTAGTGGGTTTTGTTTGTTTTTGTTGCTTTGTTTTTCATTTTGCCTTGTTTTGGAGGGTTTTAGAGAGCAGTGGTTTTATTGTTTGTAATTTTCCTAATCTGATACGGATTCTCAGTGGCAAGATTTCTGCACAGGTCTCATCATCAACAGCCACCTAACAGGGGTCTTTCAAATCCCTCCGCTGAAATTCTGACAAAATAGGAGGAATTCAGTGTTTGCCTTCCAGCACTGATCAGAAATCTCATTGAAAACAGAGACCTAGCTAGGACTTGTAGTCACCCCCTGCCTAGCATTCGCTCTGCTGCTCCCAGGTCTGTTTTAATTCTAGAATTAACAGCCTAAATAAGAACACGTTTTGTTTGACAAAATTACATAATTCACAGTCCTGAA